TGTATAATTTGATTTTTATTTTGTTTTATATTGAAGTAATAATTACTATATTTTCTTTAATAGTAAGTCGGTTTATTTAATTACAAAGTCAAAGTTACTATTTTAGATTATTCCATCAACCTCTTTCAATATATATAGATAGATATAGATTTATAATACTACGGGGAGTTAAGTTATATTAAATTTAGTTGAATTTTTGTTAAAAAATTTTATATCATAAATTAGTTACATCTAAAAATATTATTCGGTAAGATAAAATCATTTTTTTAATAACCAATCGTGCAATGGAGATTTTGAACATTAAATTTCTAAAAGGATTATTATTATGTCAGTTGAACTCACTGTTTTAAATATCTCGCTATTGCTCGCCATATTACTTTTTTTCAAAGAAGGCGATGTAGCTTTATATAGTTAGCTTTTTTCCTGAAAAGCTGAAATAGCACATTTTTTTACGCTATTTTACACTATATTTCTGCAATGACATTTAAAAAATAAAATATCAAAAAAACTTGTATTTTTTAGGGATTAGAGTTATATTTTTAAATGACATTAAAAAACTAAAAATTTTGATAATGATTTCAAATTAAAAGTTTTAAAATGCAAAGTCCTAAATTGAATAGTGCAATATATATCGGTCCAGGTCTATTATACATTATATGTTTTTGGTATTTGACATTTAAATTTAAGAATAAAAATTTTAGATCTAGTAGTTAGAATTAAATTGTAATTAAATTAAAAAAATTAATTACAATGTATATGCTTAAATTTAAATTATGATTTATCTTATTATATGTTTTGTTGTTTGTTTTTACTTTTTAGTATATTCGCTTTATTATTTAAATATTTATATCATGATATTTACATTTAACATTTGTAAGAAATAATTCTTATATGTTATTTTGAGTTCATTCAAATTTTATGATAATTTTTAGAATCAATCATCCAACTTTATTATATGCAAGGAAAGTAAGAAATTATTGAAACATGCAACATTATAGTAATGTAATCCCCCTTATATATAATTTCAGAAGGCGGTGAGCCTACGTGGCAACTACGCACGCTTCATAATCTTACATGACAAAATATTATGCTTTATAAAATGTCTTGGATAAAAAATACTATTTTTTATACCAAATAACTTAGGTTCAGATTATCATATATGTACACATATTTATTATATTTAAATCATTCCATATAAATCTATTTATTATCTTTTTCTTTTCTTTATAAACTGACTTGATTTCATACTCGCTTTTCTACCTGGATTCTATCATGTATAATCTTGCATAATCTCGAATGTTAGAAAAATAGTAAATAAAGACCAAAATAGAAAAATTTCAACGTCCCCTAAAAAACTTGTTCTCGCACACATCGCCTGTTTGCAATGCGAATAACATACGTTCATCGCAAAAATCAAGTTTCGAAACAAAAGTTTAAGTATTAAAAATTTTATGAAAAATAGTAAATGAACATAAAAAACTGGGGTTTATAACCTCAAAAAGGAGGTTAACTAGAAAGGACGTAACTTAAGTAATTCTTTTTTTTTTAGAAGACCCTCCAAAGAAATTAGAATATAATCTTATTAAATTTTGTGCTTTGTTTGTATTATTTCCTTATGTATTTTAAATAAGTATATTATAAATAAAGTTATTGAGGTATATAAATCAGTCTTCAGAATTTAAAATTCTATTGTTCATTCACTTAGTTATTTATTATAAATTGTTATATAATATTCTTTATATTTTTTTCAACTTCAACAAAATATATAATTTTTTTTTTTTGTTTTGTATTGCATATTTAATTATTTTATCAACCACCCGTGTAATACACTGGTATTGTATTAATAATGATAAAATCAAATATATTTGAAGTACGAATCCGCCGTGAGAATGTGCATAGTATTACGATAAAGATATGTAATACTTGTATAAATGAAGGCGAAAAGGTAATTGTTACAGTAAGATTAACTGATATCCTATGAATTAATGTCAGCAAATTTTATCTTATTAATGTTACCCATAAGGTTATTATTAGGTACATGTACTTGTTTGACAACTATAACCTTTTATTAATCTGCATATACCTTTACAATAAAGTATCATGCTTAAAAAAATATAAATCAAAGTATTGATATGTTATATTATAAATATTCAATTTCTGTTTGAAAAGTGTGATAAGATAGACCTAACGAATAGTGATATCACTATCTCTTCTCTTCTTAGCCATTCATTTATCGACAAATAAGTATATTATAAATAAAGTTATTGAGGTATATAAATTAGTCTTCAGAATTTAAAATTCTAATGTTCATTCACTTAGTTATTTATTATAAATTGTTATATAATATTCTTTATATTTTTTTCAACTTCAACAAAATATATAATTTTTTTTGTTTTGTATTGCATATTTAATTATTTTATCAACCATCCGTGTAATACACTGGTACTGTATTAATAATGATAAAATGAAAAATATTTGAAGTACGAATGTGCATAGTATTACGATAAAGATATGTAATACTTGTATAAATGAAGGCCAAAAGGTAATTGTTACAGTAAAATTGACTGATATCCTATGAATTAATGTCAGCAAAATTTTATCTTATTAATGTTACCCATAAGGTTATTATTAGGTACATGTACTTGTTTGACAATTATAACCTTTTATTAATCTGCATATGCCTTTACAATAAAGTATCATGCTTAAAAAAATATAAATCAAGGTATTGATATGTTATATTATAAATATTCAATTTCTGTTTGAAAAGTGTGATAAGATAGACCAAACGAATAGTGATATTACTATCTCTTCTCTTCTTAGCCATTCATTTATCGACAATTGGGGGGTAATTATTATTAGTACAAGTCAATGAAGTATTAGTTGGGGTAATATTCTTAAGCATGATGCAATAAGTGTAGCCATTCTTAATTGGGGTAGATACATGTAGATACACGCACTACGTGAGGTGAGATCCAAATGCAATCAACGTTTGAATTGAATGAATTGAATCCCGATCGATTACAAAGTCAAAGTGCAGCCTCCACGTTTTAGGTATCAGTCAACCAAATGGAAGGCTGAATGAATGCCACCAGTAGGTTTTTATTTATTTATTTATTTATTTTGTTTGTGTGTAGAAATCCAGTAAAGTAGAAACACCAAAATTTGATTGATATTTCGTACTTAATTATATTCCTCACTTCCTTCTTGACTTCGGCGTAGCTTGTGCGATGGACAGGTAAACAGTAAGAGTAAACAATATTAATTAATATTTATAAATTGAAGATGTGAGTGAACGATATTAAATAATAATTATAAATTAAAGATGTTGGGTTAACATGTGATATTTTTTTTTTCCGAAATGATAGAGATATTATATAACAAAAACCGCACAAAGTGCGAAGAGAAAACAACAAAAAAAAGAAAGGTACAACCAAAGGCTGAAAAGACTAAGAGGACAGATCCGAAGATCGCCTATAGCCAAACCTAGGAACGCTAGAAAATAAACTCACGAGAACACAAAAACAACAAAACTATAACACTACAAACTCCCAAACAGGAGACTAAAACGATCTCAACAGGACAATACCCGCTCTCACTTGGGTTCACAGAGGTGAACGACCCAAACCAAAAATACGAATTCTAGCCAAGACACACAAAACAAAACTAATTAATAAGAGAGCCCTTCCACAGCAGATCAATTGGGCCTAACCAGCACAGAAACAGTCGACTCCAAGAAAGATCCAATGCCCGAGGGATCTCTTCCGAAACTGCTGAACCACCTATACAGAAGCCGAAACCAAACCCTTAATCAAAACCAAAATCGACCCGCCACCAACTGGAGGAACCACGATCCAACTCCCACCACCAGCGTTACCCGAACTCGCCTAACACCACTAGCCGAGCGCGAGAGCTCCGGACCCATCTCCGTCCCCAGCACTAGAGAACCGAGGAGGGGAGAGTGGCTTGGTCCCTCAAATCTGACAACCCCGACGCAGGACGTCGCAGCCGCCAGAGCCACGCCCCACCCACTGACCCACACCCCGCCCGCCGCTACCGCAGACCGGGAAGAAAACGACCAGAGCCCACACCCGTCGGAAAAGGCAAATCCTTGGGGAACCTCGGCAGTCCACCAATCGTAGCATCACCTGAGGCGCGCAAATCACATAAATCGATAATGGGGTGGCTAATCCCCTACAAAGCCTGGTCGACTCAAGAGAGAACTGGGACCTCCAACAAGGGGGGTCCCTAATAAGATGAGAAGAAGGAGAAGAATCCAACGGAGAAGGTGCAGTCAGGCCAGCTAAGGTGGGAGATGGAATCTCTCGCTGGCTAAAATTCTCGGCGTCAGCCCTGTGGTTTGCTGTCGTCATGAGGACGTCTGATGCTGGGATACTCTAAATCCATCCTGATGATGCCCCTAAGGGGTTCAGGTAGGTCTGCGACGTCATATAGCACAAAGTCTCGGGCTCGACAGATGGAACCTGCGAGGTAGTTGGCGACACTATTCCCCTCTCGGTAGATGTGGGAGAAGCTAACGTCAAGAGTATCTGTTAGAGCTCTGATCTTCTGAATGAGGTCTCTTTCCCGCCAGCCGCCGCCGGGGGTCGTGGTAAGGAGTGATATAACAACCTCAGAGTCAAGCTCAATCCAAACTCGGTCATAAGTCAAGTCCCAGCATAGTGATAATGCTCTCCAAACAGCATGGAGCTCTGCAATGGTGCTGGTCTGAACTCCGATGTAGTCGTGGAATGCAAAAATAGTTCTGCCTCTATGATCTCTGGCAAGGCCATCTGCTCCTGCCTCTCCGGGGTTACCCTTCAAAGCTCCATCTGTATTGATCTTTAACGTGCCGACAGGGGGGTGGTCCATCTAATAATCTGCATACGAGGGCATTTCTGACGATGATGGGGCCAGGAGGAAGGGGATAGAAGGTGGCTCAAAAGAGGGGCTCGAGAACAAGAGGACTCTTCAAGAAGGGAAGAATTGGCGATGAGTTTTAGATGTTTCCAAACTCGATCGCAGACGCGTTGAGCGGTGAAGGGGATTTGTTTAACTCTTTTGTCATTGCGGGAGCACCAGAGGTACCAAAGGATAAGAATAGGAATGAGGTGGAATAGATGGGACTTGCCAGTCCCAAAGCTGAACCAGTGGGAGAGAGTGGTTTGAATGCTGTCGGAGGATATTTGGGGGATGACAGTGAGAGAGTAGAAATTGGCCCATACTGCTGATGCAACTGGGCTGAGGAGAAAGAGGTGAGGAATGGATTCCATACCCCCCCAACAGAAGCAAGAGATGGAAGCATTGATTCCCCTCCGAGATAGGCCATGGATATCCAAAAGGAAAGGAGGCGGACCATGAAGATGGAGATGGTAGGGGTAATAAGGGAACTCCAAATGTGTCGGAAGATAGGGTTGGGGGATCGAGGGGTTCGGATAACTTGCCAGGCACTTTTAAATGAGAAAGAACCGTTAGAGGAGAGTTTCCAAATAGGAGGGAAGGAGGGGAGGTGGGTGGGGAAGACGGTAATAGAATCAATCACGTGGGAAGGGAGAAGGGTCTAAAGGAGAGGGATGTTCCACCCAGTTTCGTTCCAAACCTCACTGACAAGGAGATTAGAGCGGGTATGGGGGGCTAGAGAGGATAGGGGACTATATTTGAACCATTGATCGTGCCAGAAAGAAATATTGCCATCACCGGTGAGCCAGTGAATCCACGGGTCGACAGTAGTTCGAATGCTACAGAGCCGCTTCCAGGTGGAAGAGTCTGCAGGGTTAGGTTTAACCACCATAGGATGGAGTCTAGAGCAATATTTGGACCGAATGAGGTTGATCCAAATGTTAGAGGTCGAACGAAGCCGCCACCAAAGTTTGACCTCAGTGGTGCGGATAAGATCTTGGAGGTTACGACTGCTAAAACCTCCTTCTTCCGTGGGAAAGCAAAGGCGATGCCAAGCTACCCAGTGAAGTTTTCGGCGATCATCGTTGGAGCCCGAGAGGAAGCGATTGAAACACCTTTCGATTGAAAGGATGACGTTCTGAGGGGGTTTAAGAACCTGAAGGCAGTAGAAGGGGATGGATGTGTGGCTTGATTTTATACGCTCAATCGACCACCAATAGAGAGAATGTGGTGGTTCCATGAGCTAATGCGAGAAGAGATTTTGTAGTGAAGGTCATTATAGAGGTCTCGAGTCTGGTTACCCTTCCATGAGATATGGAGTTACTTCACAGTAGTTTGGTTAACATGTGATATAATTTACCGTATATTAGTTTATTGTAAACAATATGAGATTATATTTTATAAAAGAATATAAAAAATAAGTTTAAAATATTAAAAACACCTACAATATTATATAATATATGTAAAAGTATCTAATATTTCGAATATTATTATTGTGAAGTCCCCTAAAGTTTGTCTGAAATCATTTGTAAAGAAAACATGTCTAAAAATATTTAATTTAACATCTAGAAAGATGTGAAGCCACTTAAAATTTTCTACACTATTTTGTATAGAAAACATGTCTAAAAATATTTAGATTAAACATTTTTATATGTATATGTGTATATGAATATTTATATATAGATAGAATGTGTAAAAAAATTATCTAAACAATATGTTAAAAGTATCTAATATATTATAAGTGTAAATAAAGACATTATCTCACACTAAATTTGTTGAGAGAAGATATAAAACAAATAATGAGATGATACCGAGAGTTATGACATTAGATTTCAAAAATATAGTTTTTTTTTTCTTTTTTTTTTTAAGTTACCATAAAAAAAATTTGTACGCTTAACAATTTCACACTTAGATTGTATTTAATGCTACGTTTTTTATTAACACATATCATATGTATTTAATGTTTTTGCGGTAAATTATTCCTAAATGTTACATGATAGAGCCATACTTGCATAGATCGGGTTAAGTGTTCGTAGCTCGACTGGATTGAAAGCCGACCTAGATAGGTCGACCTGAGATATAGATTCTAGGATCAGGATGATTTCCATGAGACGCTTTCTGCAATAGCTCAAGGACGGCGGTATAGGGCTCAAGAACCTCGATGTCAACCAGAGATATAACCGACTTGGGAGGTGGCAATTTGAGCATAACACAACTCAATCCAGGCGTAGGGACATTAGATGATTAGACCCTCGACATATTGCCTAAGTCGGCCTTTACCACCTATCAGACGATTTGATTTAGCTCGCGGCTCGAGGTAGGAGTTCTTAATGAAGGTTTCGGTCTGAGATTAAATAGGGAATAAAGGATAAGGATGAACCTTAGAAGGATAAGAAGAAAACTTAAGATGACTAGGATTTGACTAGGAGGTGATTAGGATATGGATAAGCACTGAAATCTGGGCAGAACATTCCTGGCAGATATTTCCATTATAAAAGGGGCTAAGGTAGCACCAATTCCCAACTTTCATTCTTCATATATTATATTGCTCTCATTTACAGAGCATCATCATCTTCCAGATACTAACTTAAGCATTGGAGGCTCTTCGTCAAAAGCCCCTCCGGCGTTGAGTTCTGCTTGTATATTTCCGGCGGTTCAGGTAGATCGAAGTTCACTTCAACAGGTTCGATCCAAATATAGGAAAGGACCCATCATTTTGATGTTGTCTATGGGGAGTTCTTGAAGGAACTAAGAGCTTCGCACTAACTTTCGATCACCTGACATTGCTGAGAAGGATACAGAGGAATTTGAGTGAGGATTTCAAAGGAGCATGGTCAGATAAGAGACCTCCAGTGCTTCCCAGCCCACAACCTATTATTTCTATGATGGGATTGCCACTATTTGGGGGACATCCGCCGCCAGGGGTGCGTATGGAAGAAGAGACACCAATTACCCCGCCAAGGGTAAAAATTCAGGTACTGACCCAAGAGGGGACCAGTCAGATGTTGCATCCAAGCTCTGGAGTTGGGGGGGCAAAAATCAAAGGAAGTACTTCGAGATCGCGGAAAACTAACTGAAGGAGCACAAATGCAGGAAGGAGAAGGATCACAGACACAAAAACCTCGACCTGAGGACCAGATGATAACACTCACTCGAGCTGAGATGTAGAAGATTATTGCAGAAGCAGTGGCAGCTCGACTTGAGCATTCTCCCCGACAAGAACAGATACATCGACCTGAACTGGAGCAGCATGCCTAATCAAATGAGCAGCATCATGGTAGAAGGTGAGAAGACGAGGAGTCCTCTATTGTAACACCCCACCTACTTTTACTAGAAATCAGAGTAAATTTTTCGCGCTTTATAGTAGATTAGGAAACACTGATTTAATTTTTGAAAACTCAAATTAACTTTTTCAAAAATACTTTTATAACTGCTGGATGCTACTCAACATAATCTGATCTCTTTCTCTTTTCTCTTTTATTATTATGCATACAGCCAAGTAAAAAATTCATTACTCTGATAGGCTCCATGAAAATCACTGGATTTAAGCTTGCATAAACTGAATTCTGAATACTGTTCTGAATACGGAAGCAAATACAAGTTCAAACCAAACGAACAAGCAACAAAAAAAACATTAAATTCAAACATGTTCAAATAATACATGACAGGTTATAACAAAATATCTTCTTGCTCGACTACAACCACACATTAGCTCACCACAACCACACATCAGCTCACGCGCCACGCGGGACTCCGTCACTTGAAAAAATGATTAGTGGGGAGGCGTGAGCATAATGAATAAACGTGCTCCACCGGAACTGACACTGAATATACATCACATTTAGTAACCAATCATGAAATCAGCATACATATAAATAAATCAGCCAACTTAAGGCTTAGGGTAAACTGGCACTCATGTGCACACTTTAGGGGTCCCAACCCATAGAAATCCAGGTTGGGCATTGGGCCCACACATCTGGACACGAGACTTAGGTTGGGCATCAGGCCTCACACATCCAAGTCTGGACTTAGGCTGGGCATCGGGCTCACACGTCCAAGTCATAACTAGAGTTCTTGACCAAGACGGGATCACTCATCCGTCTCGGTCCATCAATTTACTCATACACATACTTCAGACAGGATAAGTAATTAAAAGCAATGAGATACACAGTGCAGGGGTTCCCCTGGATGCTAGCGAAATGTAAATGTGGGAATAGCTGTGTAGCAGGTGGAGGCTCGACTCTCCTCAAGCTACAAAATATTATTGCGAAATATTCTAAGTACTAGGCTCAATAAGAAAACGCGAATCTTATTATCTGATCTTACTAGGTTCACTCACTTGGTTTTATAATCATTTTAAAACTCATTTTAGGAATTTACGAGCTGATTTTGAAACTTTATTGTTTTTGAGGCATACTAGAGTTATCCGAAATATTTCTAAGTCTGAGACTATATCTGACTGGGTCTAAATCTGACTGGATCTTATAATCTAACTAGGTTCAGAAAAACACTGAAGTCTCGATTCACGCTCAAACCGATCTTTCGAACCGAAAACTTCCGAATCATCCGGACTGCACTCCTTTCGACCGTCCGGACTGCCCGGACGGGTTCGACTGAACTAGAGACTTCGCGAACTGTCTGGACTAGTTTGGCTGGACTGGACCGGCAGCTTGCTCGAAACCGGTCGGTTACTCGCTTAACTATGTGCACACACGAACACGGATGACACGGCTTTGTAGACGCACGGGATTTAAACGGTGCCACGGTCACTGATGCAGGGGTGTGCTTGGACCACTGCTAACGGAAAATGACGTGTTGACGGTAGGTCGGATGGACGCACGGGAGTTGGGCAGAGCGCAGGGGCACGACTTAGTCGGACTCGGTGCACGGGCACGCACTCGGTGACCCAACTCCAACGATCCGACGACAATGGTACACATGTGCGAGATGACGATACGCGTTAAGGGTACGTACTAATGCACGTCGGTTGGTTGGTTACGCTCGCTACGAGGCACACAACCTCTGTAGCCTTCTTAGGCTCGGTTATGGTCCCGTCGGCGACTCATCGGCCGACCGACCACATCACGGCACCCAAGAACTCATTTATAATCCTATAACGTCTAGAGTTATCTATACGGAACTAGGGTTTTCAGGCGATTATACTCGGATCTGCAAATTACCCAGTTTTTTGGAACGGATAAAACTAGGGTTTTTGATCTCCGAATAACCTATCTCATTTTAAGCCAAAACTTAACCCTTATCTCTATGTGATTTATAAGGAATTTACATCCAACAACTGCAGCTAAATCACAACCAGAATAATTTCTAAAAACATCACAATACACGGCTAAAGTCCCGATTTTTAAATTATATCAAACGGTCTCGAAACATCACGAAATTTAAACCACAACATCCACAGAATACACATGATTTTTGATCAAAATATCGCATCCAAATTAAACCTATAACTCATCCAACTAAAATCGAGCATTATCGGTTCAAATTCACAAAATCGGTTCGCATAATAAACGAACTCCAAAATTCACCAAATTCGAACCTAATCCTCAAGACAATTTAACATGATTTATAAAATTATAATCACCATTTTATCACTTTTCATTATCGAGATCTTAAAATCATCGCTTCAAGCTAGTAAAATCCATATAAAATCATATTTCACCCAAATTCCTCAATTATCATTTTTATAATAAGTTATAATATTTTTCTAATCCATTGGAGTAAGTGGTCAAGCCATTATGCAACACCCCGCTACTTAGGGCCAAATTTTTCGCAAATTCTACCTTCGAAAACGCTTATAAATTTTTCAAAATCGTTTGCGAACTAACTCGGGATGCTGCTAAAAACTTTTCTGCTTTAAAAATCCGTTCCCTTTTAAATTGGGTCTAACTACTGGTTTAGACTTTAAGAAAAATAGATTTAAATCTTTTATCGAACATGCATATTAAACTGGTCCCGTTCGTACTGGCGAACTGGGTAGATTATTTAAGTCTGAAAAGTACTGTCACGTAAGTTCGAACAGAAATAAATGTAGCGGAAGTCTTAAAATGCGTGGCATAATAGTTATACAAAACAGAGTAAACAAATGTCCACGAATCGGCTAGCTGT